GTCGTAAGTGAAATTGTAAACGCAAACTTGCTGTTCATACGCTGCTTTTCTTTCTCTGAATACTGTTATTCTTTAATAGGGTTTGGAATTATAAGTACTTTTTACTTCAGCCTAAACCCTTTCGGTCATGATGTTTTTGCAAAATGACTGAATAAATTACTAAAAAGAATCTTATCTAATTAGAATTCATAGAGCTCTTTGCATTTAACCCAAATCTGTACATGCTTCTACTTGCATTTATAAGGATTCACTCTTAAACTGAAGTTAAAACAAAAAAGGCGAAGGCTCAGAAAATGTGCGTTATATTAAAACGTGATGTGAAGCCTTCCGTGTGACTGTCTCTGTTGCATTGTGGTGCCCAGAGTTTGACTGACAGCTGGTCTCTGAGCTCCAGTCTGCACACGCCCAGAGGAAATGCTGTCTCATTCTGACAGTGAGCACTTTATATGCACATGACAGAGCCTGATCTCCACTTACACGCTTACACTGACGAGCCAACACACACGGTACACTCACTCACACCTGCACACTGTCTACGGACCCGTTTATGCTTTATTTTCAACACCGCTCAGTAAACAACAGGGATGGAACAATAATCGAAATATTGTCTTTGCTTATTTAATAGTGATGGTGCAGAGGGAACTACATAGACCATGATCCTTTGGTGTTGTCAGGACTACACTAAAATAATATAGGGTGACCATATTTCCATTTGTGAAAACCCGGACACTTTACCGGGGGTGGGAGGTGAGGCCTCGACACTGAGCTACAGTCGTCCATCGCTATATCGCGGTTCACATTTCGAGGTCTCGCCGTTTTGCAGATTTTTTTTTTTTACACACAGGTGGGTCAGGACTAAACCAGGACTAATCTTGGACTTAAGAGAGAGAACGCCAAGCAGTTTGCCTGCAAAACGCGATCGGGCAATTGCCGTGTTTACCTCCGTGAGGTGCAGAGTTCTCCGTCTGTCCTTTCTCCTGTGGTCACCTCCGAGCCCGTCCCGACAGTGAGTCCTGTTTCAGTTCTGGTTTAGTCCTGGTTCAGTTCGTGGCGTGTGCAGCGCAAAAGTTTGATATAATCTCGGGTTAACGGGCGGGTGCGGTGTTGTACTGTGGGTCTCCAAAAATAGACCCATGCAGGACTCTGCGCTGTGGGCTCCATTACAGAATAAATGAATCTTCAGTTTGTTACATAAAGAAGGAGGAAAATAACAAAAGGACGACAGCAGCAATAAGTTTTAAGAAGGATGTAAAAAGGGTTGTAACTGTTGTGTCTGTTAAAAGTGTATAAAGTGTGTGGTGATGGGTTTTACAGACTTAAAACAGATATAATAATTGTAAAATATAAAGTTGACTACTTCACGGATTTCACCTATTTTATTTTTAGAACGTAACCCCCGTGATAAACGAGGGACCACTGTACTCTCACTTCGCAACCTGTGCACATGGCCTCACACTTGTCCCGACCGGGATGGAAAACGGAGAATTTCTTGTGCAAGTCATTGTTAAATGCGCATTTGCGTTTCGGCATGTTGCAGACTGACCGACTGTTTGTGTCTGCTCGCTCCTTCTGAGTCACAGAGAGTTTAATGCCCCCAATGAATGGTAAGGAAAACCCGGACATTTGCATCACTCTAAAAAAAAAAAACCCGGACGCCCAGGACAGGACGCAAAATACGGACATGTCCAGGGAAAAACGGACATTTGGTCACCCTAATATAATATACAGTCTATGGCCTACACCAGGGGTCTCCAACCTTTTTCCTCCGGTGAGTCACTTTTACAAAATGAAAATGTCAGAGAGCTACTAATTTTAGGGATCGCAAGAAATACATGCATCCCAAATTTTAGACTTCCCGTCATCATGCAGTGCATACTGGGAAAGGTTTACTGAAAAAGTGAGCATCAAACTACCATGCTTGATTTCCCAGTGGGATGCGTCTATTGTCAAAACCAATCTTTTAAAGTCTTTTCAACCATATCACTTTTATTTCTGGTCCTGATATTGTCATATTTTACTTTTGGGATTCGGACATCTTAATTGTGTGGTTGTTGGATGTTCTAACAGCGGAAAACAGGCTTTGGAAATCTGCAAACTCCATAAATGCAAAAGATAATCAGATGTGTGTGACTGCAAACCTCCGTTCAAACTGTTTCTCTTCCCAACGGAATTGAAAAATAGTGCAAGGTGAAGGCCATGGGCAGTACTGATGCACAAGAAGGACCAAAAAGAAAACCTTTGACTGCCTAAGAAATCATCACAAGTTTGCAGCGAACATTTTGTACGTGGTAACTCCTGAGCAACAGGTTGGAGACCCCTGGCCTACATGGAGTAAAACAATCGGTGGTAGCGTATAACGTTCTTAATGCGCAAATTATTCCAAGAACGGATAAATTCGTTTAGCAATATCTTCCCTCTCCAGCATGACACTTGTTTTGGTTTTACCTGGTGCAAGTTGGATACGTCATTTTGACAGGTTTGTTCTAATTGGTGAATCTGGTGGGCGGGCACTTCCGGTTGGTTCACCCAATCAGCTCGAGTCATTCTGCTGCAAGTCCCTCCTTTTTCTAAACTCTTTCAGTGAGAGCCGTTCCAGATGGATAACGTGTAGAGCTCAGTTCGGAATGATACACTTATCAATCTAACTAAAGGCTTTTTCAAGGCTTTTAAAAGGAATTAGGAGGTATTCCCACATGACATCACAAGGTGTTTTCCGTTCAAGAGAAGAAATCAGCCTAAATATGAGTTTATGTGTTAAATGTGTGAATGAAACGAAACACAACTCCGGGTCTGTTTGTAATGAAGACACATTATAACATAGATCAGAAAACTGTAATATTTAGATCCATGTACCAGTCGTTCTTTTGAATTTCAATTAAGAACAAAAAACAATAAAATGGGAAAACAGTTATTTCATTATTTCATTTTAATGTCGAAATAGATTTTGACCTCTATTTCCAATATTTAATTTAACGTTTATTTCAAATAACACCAATCAAAAAACAATCTCGGTGCATATTTTAATTTTGATTTTATTCTCTCTGGTTTATTTGCCCTTGGAAGTTCTGCCGCTAGAAGGACTTAGTTTTGTGGACAAACTTATTGTCTTCTTTTATAGCGACGCGTTTACTTTCGCATTTTAGAAAGTTATTGTTGAACTACATGATGAGAAACAATAACTTTGTTCAGTTTACACCATAGAACTATAATAAAAATAGTTAAAAAGTTAAATTATAGATCCATGATTGAGCAGCAGAACTTCCGGGGCAAATAAACCAGAGAGAATAAAATATCAAAATAGTTACCGAGAATTTAAACTTTAAATTAAATATCGGCAATAGAGGTCGAAATCTGTGTTGTTGTTTTTTTTATGCTAAAATGGAAAAATTAAATGAACTTTTCATTCTTAATCGAAATTCAAAAGAACAAATGGTACAAGGACCTATTTGCCCTTTACTAAAATGGATAAGATTAATAAAATAATGCATGTGGATTGAAAAAAAAAAATCTTCTTAAGTTATTGTTTAACTCCATGACGAGAAACAAGTAGCAACGATAAACTTTGTTCAGTTGACACCACAGAACTAAAATAAAATTAGTTTTTATTATAGATCCATGGTTGAGCAGCAGAACCTCCGGATCAAATAAACCAGAGAGAATAAAATATGAAAATTAAAATAGTCACCGAGACTTTAAACTTTAAATTAAATATTGGAAATAGAGGTCGAAATCTTTTTTTTGTTTGACACTTAAATGGAATAATGAAATAACAAACTGTTTTCCCATTTTATTTTTTGTTCTTAATTGAAATTCAAAAGAACAAATGGTACATGGACCTATTTGCCCTTTACTGAAATGGATAAGGTTAATAAAATAATGCATGTGGTGGAAAAAAAAAAAAAAAAAAAAAAAGGTAGCCTATTCTTTTGAAGCAAAGTCTTGGATTAGGGTTGCGATGACCTTGAGTACACAGTTTCAGTTTCAGTACTCCAGCTTCGCCGCAACATAAAAATAAACACCTAATTACTGTAATCAATTAGAATAACAATGTATAGATTCAAATATGGCCGTTTTACCCTCGTGGGCACTAAAGGTGAGTGGAAAGTTCAACTCCTGAGCCGCAGTGATTAACATGTTTATATTAGAAATCAGGCCTGAAGCGGCGTTCTGGTGTGGGGACTTCAATACTACATGTAACTCTATATGACTCGGCGGGTTTATTAGTCTGGCCAGTGCTGACTATATTCTCAGACAGTAAGTATTTAGAGAAATTTGAATGCCCTATGTTTGAAAAAAAGGCAGCTAACAAAGAGAAATCTACCAATTTGTTCACAGTTCACCAAAAATGAGACAGTTTTATAATGGAAATAAAGGTATATATAAGACAAAAGTTAATTATTATAAGTTATGATATACTGATGTGACTGTATACGGAAAATATCAGACCAGTGAATACTAAAATAAATGTAGGACATGAATATTGTACACATTATTCCATAACAAAGTCAACAAACGCTTCCAGGAATGACATGTTTGGAATGTTTTTCTGTTGTGGTGCTACAATAGAAATATTTCCTCAAATATGTGAGTTCCACTGTGAAAAACTGTTAATGTAGTGATACTAAACTGTAGCGGTTCAAGTTTATTCCTCACTTTGTTCACACATTAGAGCATCCTAATGAGTTAGGACATTACATCAACAACATCAGCATGCTAACCACACACTACTGTTATGATTAAATACATTTAAGACAAACACAAACACACAAACAGGAAACATTAGATTTGGTATGAATTGTTTATTGTTTTTTGTTTATTTTATTCTTTAGTTTATTTATTTATTTAAATAATAAATAAACCAAAAAAAAAAATATTTTTTTGTAAAATTGTTTTTTTGTTTTTTTTAAGTTAATGCATTTAAACACATTTCAACAGAAACGTTCTTTCCACTGAAATGGCATTAAATACATCTTCTTATCAGTTGATGGTCACTGAAACACCCTCCTCAGCCTCCAGAAGAAGTGTGACAGGGTGGACTTGCGGCGCGTGTGGAAGGCTCTCAGCTCGCTGTTGACATGGGTCACAACTGCTGCCTCAAAACGTGCAGTATCTTCTGCTGAAGCTGCCCTAAAGACGGTCCAAGACGAGCCATACTGCACTTTTAGTTGTTTGGCCACTTTTTTGCCAATTTTCTTGAAATCTTTAAGGCTGATCTCATCATCTCCAACTACAACGATGTGCTCCTGGATCTTTTGGTGTAACTCAGCAGCCATCAGGACGTGATCCTGTTTGGTTATTTTGGCCATTTTGAAAATGCGTTTGAGACAAGCCTCTGTGAGGATGTGGGACACTCCATGTCCACAAGAGGGAGCAGGTGGGCTGATCGTCTCTGTTTTGGTTTCCAGAGGAGAGGACATTTCGTCTGTTTGTTGATGCAGGGTGTGGTCTGGTGGACTCACTTCCCTCTCTTCCTCTGGCTCATGAGCAGTGACACTTGGTGCTGGTGAAGTGCAGCTCTGGTGCTCTTCAGGCAGAGCTGGACTCAGGCTGCAGACATCTTCACTCTGCTCTTGGTGAGTGGTGGTTTGGTCTTTGATGTCGTCATTTTCTGCAGTAACTCCAGTGAAGGCAAACTGGGACAGGTCTTCCACAGGGAGCACCTGTAGTTCCTCTGACGCAGGTTGCACTTCCTCCTGGAGCTCGTCATTCCCTTGGCTCAGGGATGTGGAGTCCTGAGTGGCAAAGGAGACGCGTTTCCCCCATGATGCATTTCGAATAGTTTGTTTGGACCTGCTGTCTATGGTTTGGACCCGGGTTCGCGTTCACACCAGTGTGAAAGTGTGTGAAAGCACCATCAAACTACAGGTCAAGGCTCACTGATGAGCATCTTCAATCTATCCTGAGGATCTCATGTGCTTCCTCCTGCAAGCCAAATATCTCTCAGCTGTGCAAGATGAAGTGTAGCCAGGTTTCAACCAGAAAGAAGTAGGCAAAAGAAGAAGAGTAGACGTATTAGTTTAAACTTAAGTTCTAAATACATTTTCATGTTCTGAACTGTTATTAAAGATTAAGAAAGTGTGTGGCGTGTTGTTCATTCTCTCTCTTCATTTCCTGTGCAACCGCTTTTTATCGAATACTCAATGCGGCCCAGCCTCACTCAGACTTTATCTAATGTGGCCCCCAGGTAATTTGAGTTTGAGACCCCTGGTATAAAGAAATGGACTCAGGCAAGTCAAATGAAGCTCATTGAGGCCATGGTTATGGGGTGAATGTGGAGCTCTTTAATAGTTGCAGCTGAAGGTGAGTCTGGAGAATATATTTACTCTCTTCTGTGCATGGGCGCATATATTGGGATGTAACAGATCGTACAGTGTGAGGTTTATAATGCAGAACTTTCTTATTCAACAGCAGCAACGTCTCTCATGTCAAAAACTCGAGTCATTTATGTGAATAAAAATACATGAATAATAATGTACACTTTCACTGAAATCATCATTAAAACCAGAGCAGAAGAGGAGAAAGAGGAGCGTTTGTTGTACGTATAGTTTGGGTGTAGTTTTTATTAAACACCTGTGCGTTCATGTGACTTGGCGTTGTTCCCGCCGCTGATTAGGACGGTCGGATTCTCCAAACGCAGCTGAAGCCCCTTCTCTTATCTGTCTAGGACTCTTAAGCTGCTCAGCTCAGTCCTGGTCTCAGTCCTGGTCTCAGTCCTGGTCTCAGTCCTGGTCTGGTCCCTGTCTCAGTCCTGGTCTGGTCCCTGTCTCAGTCCTGGTCTCAGTCCTGGTCTGGTCATGGTCTGGTCCCTGTCTCAGTCCTGGTCTCAATCCTGGTCTCAGTCCTGGTCTCAGTCTTGGTCTCAGTCTTGGTCTCAGTCCTGGTCTCAGTCCTGGTCTGGTCCCTGTCTCAGTCCTGGTCTCAGTCCTGGTCATAATCCTGGTCTGGTCATGGTCTGGTCCCTGTCTCAGTCCTGGTCTCAATCCTGGTCTCAGTCCTGGTCTCAGTCCTGGTCTCAGTCCTGGTCTCAGTCTGGTCTCAGTCCTGGTCTCAGTCCTGGTCTCAGTCTTGGTCTCAGTCCTGGTCTCAGTCCTGGTCTGGTCCCTGTCTCAGTCCTGGTCTCAGTCCTGGTCTGGTCCCTGTCTCAGTCCTGGTCTCAGTCCTGGTCTCAGTCCTGGTCTGGTCCCTGTCTCAGTCCTGGTCTCAGTCCTGGTCTGGTCCCGGATCTGGTTCACGAATTACACGGATTCCAAAAGTTCAGCTTTTTCAACTTCTGACTCCGATGCCCACAACACGCGTCCAGAGCATCAACGCCTAAACTCTGATGACGTGCGCCTCGCCAGTGCCAGATTCTTGCTGCGCTGACGCCTGAAGACACGTCGCAAAAAACGCAGGACGGCCTAAACACGAATCTAAATAGAAACTGCAAGTAAACTGGACGCCTTGATGCCCCGGTCTGAACTTAGCTCCAAAGGTAAAGGAGTTAGGAGCTCGGATCTGACGTATTTGGATCAAGCGCGCGTGCTGTTGTCCCTTACCTGTCTGGTGGGGAGGTGGCTGATGCTCTGCAGGCACACGGAGCCCTGGTAGGTGAGGTGGGGGAAGAGGTTGAGGGCGCGGGCTGCCTCTGGGCCCCTCTGCTTGTACCCCCAGATCAGGTCGATCCACTGGTGCAGCTGACAGGACACAAACTCACTCTCCAGGGCCTGTGGAGCAGAGGGCAGCAGGGGGTGAGGCGTGAACACGGACCTGCTCAGAACATCTGCCCCACAAGAGGAGCTACAGAGCCTCCTGACTCCAGAGCACTGCAAATCCTCTCTTGCTTTTTGAGCTAAGGGAGAATACAAAAGAATACAAGCACCAAACATTTGTTACCTTCACGTAAACTAGTCTTGGAAAGCTTGTGTCAAATCTGAACCACAGACTCTATAAAGGACTGGGCTGAGGGAGTGTCAAATCACCCACAGTGTTCGGCTCCAGTCAAGTTAAGCTCAAAAGGCCATTAGGCAATTACAGAGGCGAATTTGGAGTCGAGTTCCATCCAAACACTATGATAGCTGTCAATCAAACCTGTTACTGAAACTAGCAGGAGCCACATCAGGGAAAGAGAGCACATGATTACTCTGTTATTTATGTTCATGTCCTGATTTACTGACAAAATAGCTGAATAAAAACCCGAGGATCACATAGAGTGGGTTAAACTAACATTTTACAGTCAGAATGAGAAGTCTGACAGCAGCAGTTACAGAAAAAGGGGCCACTAATTTTCAGTAGAAAGTGAACTGGAGCCAGGGTCGATGGAGCCGAATCACACGTGGTCACTTGAACACAGAGGCTAGAGGGCAAGCGATGTCCGTCTATATATAAAGTCTATGGTCTGGACCAAGGATGAGCAATGATTTTTTCCCTGGGGCCACATGAGAAACAGAAAATATTGTCTCATTTCTCAATTCTGCATAATGTTAATTGTATTTCTTTATAAAAAGCAGTAAATATCATGGTTTTGACGAGCTGGTAAGACTGTTCAGAGTTTATGTTATGACTAAACAATGAAAAAGTGAGGGTGCCATACAAAAAATGCGATAAAAAAATCACCTAAAGCAATCTAAAGCTTTTAATTTAGGTAAAATTTAAAAAATATGTTTTTTTGGAATTAAAAATGATCTTAAAGGGGCCAGAGTCAAACAAACGACCGTATGTAGTCTGGGAGCTGCACAATGCCCAGGTCTGGTCTAGATTAGGGGTGTGCAAAAATATCAAAATATCGATATATCGTATCATTTAATGTGATGATACAGTATCGATATCGTGGGCTGCTGTATCAATATATCGCCAAGAGTATTTTTTGGGTGTATTTTTACTAAAAAGTTATTTTGTTACAGAGCTACAGTTTTTTACTTTTTCACTGTTTTAATGATTAAAATGTTTGTGTTTCATATTCACTTCGCACAGGAAGTGGTTTAACAAAGACTTTTAGTGTCACAGACATGATTTAGGCTTTATTTTTTTATTGAACCGTATCGAATTGATTTGAAATATATTGTATCGAACTGAAAGCTCACTGCATCGTGATATGTATCGCATCGTGGCCTATGTATAGAGGTATGTATCGTATCGGCAACTTCTTAATGACACCCAGTCCTTGTCTAGATCCATTGTGAACAGGTCCAAACCCAATCTAACCTAGTCCAGACACACTACCGATCAAAAACACCACACTTTTTCCAATTTTTTTTACTGTTTACTGTTGACCAAAACATATTCTAAACTTTTGATTCATCCACCTTTGGCAGATATAACAGCTGAACACACTCGTGGCTCATTCTTTTTACAATAGAAATCAAATATTCTTCAGAAAGTTCTTCCTAAGTCTGCTGCAGAAGTTCCCATAAATATGTGGCACTTGTAGGTCGCTCGACTTTCACTCTTCTGTCCAGTTCGTCCCAAACCAGCTCGATGGGGTTTAAGTCTGGACACTGTGCTAGTTCTTTTTTCCTGAGGTAGTTTTGTCAGAGCTTGGACTTGTGTTTTGTATTTTTTATCTTATTTTTTAAACCTCTGGCTGTTCAGTTCTTACCTTTGTACTATTTCAAGCTCTTCATTGGACTTGCACGACTTGATTTTCAATAAATAACTGGAAAAATGAAGGCGTTCTAAATCTTTTGACCTCCAGCAGACGCTCTGTGCCGATTGTTATGTCAAATGTTCCGTTCGCTTGCGCTGACCAAGACCGAGGTTACGATATCCACGTTTCAAGCGCCTGAGTAATGCTCGCCGTACCTCCATCCTACACACGCTGCTCTTATTATCATGTCCACGCAGCGCTACACAAAGCTTCACAGTTTAACGCTGAAAGACAAACAAGCTTCCCACTCTTTTGTATAACAGCAGCGGCTCCCAGATCCCATTCCTCTGCCCACTTAAACCATCACAGACAATTCTCCCTCTCCTCACACTGTAAACCAATCAGAGGCCTGACAAATCACCCACCGCCGAACGCATTACAAGCTCGGAGTATAGCCCCCATTATCATTCCCAATATGTGGAACGGAACTTAATGTGTTTTCCGCCGGCATAATTCCCCGTGCAGAGAGGAATCCTCGCTGCTCCCCCCGCGGTACAGGAGGGGGCGCCGTTACAGCCCGAGCCAGAGGAGCGCAAGTGGCCACAGGGCATATCAGGGAAATTGGAAGTGGCAGATGCAAAGATGGAGGTGGGAGGCAAGAGGAAGGAGGGAAGAGGAGAGAGGAGAGAGGAGAGAAGGGGGCAGGGAGAGAGAGATCACATCATAAACAATGGAACACGAGACAAAGAAAACATGGAAGAACAATGGGTTTGGAGCTGGAAAGATTTTTGGGGAATATAGGTTGGTCATTTATAGATTTCAAATAAAAATGGGTAGCACTCGGTTTGATTTCACGGGACTTTCTGTGTTCAGTTTACATGTTCTCCCTGTGTCAACATGTTACCTTTTATTGTTTTCAAAATTCACCAAAAAGGATTGTTGTCGTTGTTCCCCACGATAAATCACTCTCCCTTCAGAGTGCTATCAGACCAAAATCAGCGTTAATGAAACTACCGCACGTCGCATCAGGTCTGTCAAGTTGCTACAGTACAGAATGGGCCCGGGAGAGATCGCTAAATTATTCAAACATGCATGGATGACGTCTAATATGGCATATCTTCAGGTATGTTTTTGATGAGGGGACGTTATAACATGTTAGAAAGCGAACAAAAGTCGATTCTGCATAATATCTCCTCTTTAAAAGGTCTACATCAGGGGTCCCCAACGCCTGGACCGTGGACCAGTACCGGGCCGTGGGTCATTTGGTACCGGGCCGCGAAAACGTGAAACCCCGTCACATACACTGCGCAGACCGTGCCTCCTCCTCTGCACAATGTGGACGGCTTCTTCTCACATACACTGCATGGACTGCGCCTCCTCCCGTGTTTCCCGTGCCTCTAAACCAGGACTAAAACCAGGACTAAACCAGGACTAAAACCAGGATTAAAATTAGGTCTAAACCAGGTCAAAACAATCTGAAGCAGGTCTAAAGCAGGTCTAAATCCAGGACTAAACCAGGACTAAACCAGACTAAAAACTATAACTAAAAACAAACTAAAAACAGGTCTAAAGCAGGTCTAAAGCAGGTTTAAAGCCAGGTGTATAATTAGCACTAAACAAGGACTAAAATCAGGTCTAAAGCAGGTCTAAAGCAGGTCTAAAGCAGGTCTAAACCAGGTGTATAATTAGCACTAAACAAGGACTAAAATCAGGTCTAAAGCAGGTCTATAGCAGGTCTAAAGCAGGTCTAAAGCAGGTCTAAGTCAGGTCTAAAGCAGGTCTAAAGCAGGTCTAAAGCAGGTCTATAATTAGCACTAAACAAGGACTAAAATCAGGTCTAAAGCAGGCCTAAAGAGGGTCTAAAGCAGATCTAAAACTAGGACTAAACCAGGACTAAACTAGGTCTAAACCAGGACTAAACCAGACTAAAAACTATAACTAAAAACAAACTAAAATTGGGTCTAAAGCAGGTCTAAAGCAGGTCACAAGTAGGTCTAAAGCAGGTCTAAAACAGGTCTAAAACTAGGACTAAACCATGACTAAAATCAGGTTTAAAGCAGGGCTAAACCAGGACTAAAACAGGCTTTAACCAGGACCATGTCTTCTCACGTACACCGTCAGTCCGTGAAAATATTGTCCCAAAAAGATCACCCATGACGCAAAAAAGGTTGGGGACCTATTACACCCACTATTACAATGTTATAATGTTGTTACCTCCTCAAAAACAAACCTGGAGTTGTGTTTTGTTTCACACATGTTTAATACACAAACACTCTGTTCCATTTTGTGATGTCACGAGTTGGTACAGGATGTGCTCCACTGTGTTTTACACTCCACACCTTCCTGGTCAGTGCTGCCTGGAATTGCAAATCTCTACTCAGCAAAAGTACTAATAATAAAGTGTTACTCAAACATGTGTGAATGAAACAAAACACAACTCCAGGTCTGTTTTTGAAGAGGTAAAAACATTATAACATGACTTCAAGCCCACAAGAGTCAATGTTGTGTAATATAGGACATTTAAGATTAATCTTGGAAATACCTGGTTGCTGTTGTTTATGCAGCCCTAATACGAAAATAATTATAATGCAGGCAGACCAAACAGCTCATGTTATGGTTGGATCTAGAGCAGAGTCTGTGTGGAGGAGAGGTGGAGTGTACCAGGCGCCTGCAGCCTCTGTCACTCGGTCTGAAAAGGTCATCCGTGTTATCCTGGTTGCTCCTGGTTCCTCCTGCTGGTCTGCCTTTACTGAGCTCAGAGACAAAATGGCCGCCTCACTCCTCTGAGCAGAAGAGAGGGTTTCATAGTAGAGGGTAGTAATGAAGTGAAGGGATGTGGAAATACATAGACCAATATTGTAAAATCTTGCATAAGCAGAATTATTAAAAGTAAATATTACACGAAATTGACTCTTTGAGCTTTAAGCCATTAAAGTTAAAGTATTGTTACTTCTGGGCCCGGTCAAGCAGAAGTAAACATCAAGGCCAAAAATTCAAGTTAATGCATCTGATATAAAAATGTATTGAACAGATACATATGTACTCTAGTTTATGAAACTGTTTTGGTTCTAAAGTTCCATACGTTTTAAACAGACCATGTATGAAACATGGAACAAAAATTATTTCCCAAATTTCAAAGACCTGAAAATCATGTAAATAAATGGATGTATTTCATCATATCTTGTGTTATTCCATCTTTGAACTGTTGATGAAGGTACATGATTTATTTTATTTTTTCAATGTATTTAAAATGATACAAATTTGCTTGGAAGGACTGACATATTTTATAGGAATAGTTTCCTTTCATCTTGAAGTAATATTAAAGTTTTCGGAAGAAAAAAGTGACAAATGATGTAAAATCGTGCACCTTCTACTTGCTTGAACAATTTTCCCTTTGTTACTTTTCCCTCCGTTACCATGACCTTTCTTCACAAAAAATCTCATGACTCAAAAAGTAAGAGGTTTTTCAACCTAATCTTGTACCATATGGTAGAAAACTATATGAAGCAAATATTCAAACCAGTTTGTTAAGGATATGTAAGTGAGAACCAAGAGTTATCACTGTTTGTATTTATTGCCCAAAAAGTGCTGCATATTTCATTCCCTCCGTTACTGACATGAGTTTTTAAAATTTTTTGTCAATATCACAGGTTTAACTTGACCCTGTTGGAGTGTAACTCTTTCCTACATTCTGATACTTTACTTATTTCAATAGTCCCTCTAGTTTCTGAATAAGAGACATTTGAATGTAAAAAATCTGCCCGTTTCCCTCCGTTACCACTTGACCAGACCTCTCTTCAAAAACAGACCTTGAGTTGTGTTTTGTTTCATTCACACATGTTTGAGTAACACTTTTATGAGTCTGTCTACATCTCCAAAGTTCAAAATGTTCTGTTCCACCTCGTGATGTCATGTAGTTTTCAAGTTAACAGCTCCTTCTACCTTTTTCAAGTTTCGAGTTTTCAAGAGGCAATTCCAGGGCTGAATTAAATGTGACTGAAACAAAACACAACTCCAGGTCTGTTTGTGATGAGAAAACAACAACAAAAGTAAAATCAAATTCTGTCAACTGGACAAAACTGTTTCCTGTTTAGAGAGTTTGAGTTTGTAGTATTTTTTGTTACATAATTTGGGGAAAATAAACAAAATCTGTCTTTCATATTTGCCCAGAAATATCAACTCTAAACAACTAGTATCTGCATCGGCCATGAAAAAACCCATATTAGTCGAGTTGCCTTGTCACGATCTGCATGTAGGTCTGCAGTATACAGTTCTGACTTATGTTGAAATGTTAAGACATGTTTTGTATCATTTCTAATCTTTGTGTTATTATTTTATTGACTATTTAGTTCCAATCTTGCTGGTTCAATTGAATGTTGAAAAGAAAAAGATGGACAAAATGGGCTACATTTAATGTCCAAAAAGGCGACTTATGGATCCTTTTATTTCATTGTTTAAAACTTGAGTAATACTAATTGTTCAGGGAGACACGATCACTCCGTCAACAATAAAATATCCTCATTAATGTTCAATAATGGTCAAATCCACCTTTATTTTGTGATTTATGAATAATGTCTTGTCTAACTGACTGACTAAGGTTTTTGACTTTTAAAATATGGGTCCCCTGAAATAAAAGTTTGGTAAACACTGGATTACTCTACTGACCATGCGGTGGATCCTGACAAAGTCCTCTGGCGTCTTGGCCCAGGCCGGCAGGTCCACGTCACACACCAGGCTCCGGCCCTCCCTCAGGCCCAGGGGGTAATCATTACTGTTCACCAACATCTCCGGCAGGTAGAACAACTCCGGGATCAGCTCCTGCACAAGAAAGATGCAACAAAGTATATATATTAATACTTTAAGTCACCATATTACACTCTTTTCTGATCTGTGAAATGTAGTTACCTGGAGTTGTGTTTGTTTAATTCATGCATGTTTAAGACTTAAACCCTGCACATTTCCAGTGTGTTATTAAACTCCACGCACTTTCACTAGAATCATTTGGATAATTCCAGCGCTGCTTCATGACATCACAAGGTGGGAAAAGCTGATAAAACTTTGGTCGATCTCGGTGACAAGGCATTTTAATCGATAGCCAGTCGTGTGTTGCTGAAAAGGATTTACGTTGTTTTGTTTAGGAAAATCCGTCAGAGCCACATCGCGTCTCTTCGTTTACTCATGTTTCACAAGTTTCGACTTAAATCTGCACAATTTGACAAAAAGTCCAGCGTCTCCTTCTCTCTGCGTCCGTGTTTGCGGTGCCGTTTGCCTCCACTCCTCCTCTCTCTCTCTCTCTGATCCAGCTACAGATCCTCACCTTTTCTCGTCTTTGTCTCCTCTTGTGCTTCTTACCATTATAATCCAAGTTACGGAACATAACTGTTTATGACTAAAACTTAGTCCTAATTTAGTGCATGGACATCACACATGCTTCTTTTAATACCGGTGGTGCGCATGTACATGTGTGAATGTGACTTTTTTAGTATTGTATATTTGAGTATATATTTTTTAGTATTTAGTTTCGATACTAGTTTAAGTATCGATTAGTAGGGATGTAACAATAACCAAAATATCGTGATAACGTATCGTCAAAGTTCTCACAGTATCTTGGATCATCACAATATATCAAACTACAAGTGTCTTTGCTTAAATGAAGAGTTATGGTGCAGCAAAAAAGACAGAGGGAACTACATAGACCATGATCCTTTGCTCCATTTCAATGTAGAATACAAGAAGAAATAACAGTTCTAACACTTTTAAGTCTTAGTTCTTTGGATTAAGTCTTGTCAAGGCATTTTAGGAGGAAAAATAGCATATTAATAGTTTTTCCTCCACAAAATATCCCAATAAATATCGTACCGTGACATGTATGTCATGAAAATATTGTATTGTGAGACTTGGATATTGTTACATCCCTAATCGTGAGCCTCCCCACCATATCGTCATAAATATCGCACCGTGAGTTTCATACTGTGATGATATCGTATCGTGAGATTTGGACATCGATTAGTGTCTGATTTTTGATAGTTTTAACCCTAACAGCATTTATTTACTCAACCCATACAGCATCAGTCCCTTTTGTAATGCATCAACCTTTCTTCTGTTTTTCATTTGGTCCCAGAAAACAGTGAACGCGCTCCAAGTCCAAGCACTTATCACAAGAGAAGGACTTGGCAAAAGGCGGAGGAGCAGCAAGTGTGGACTGAGAGCCAGAACCTGAAGCTCAGGAGCCAGGTGGAGCGTGATAGAGCCGCAGCCAAAAACAGTCTGGTCCAGTTCTCTGTGCAGAGTGACAGAGCAGCCAGGAGCCCCAACCACTTCACAGGTGACAGAGAAAACGTGCTAAAACCTTTCAGCAGTACAATAAACGAGTACTTCGACTTGAGTATCATTATTCTGAAGTAACATCAATCTTAGTTAAGTCAAATTTTTGGCTACTCTTATATTACTGAATCAAATTTCTTTCTATTTCCACACAAAAACAACAGATTCTTATAGTCTCTCTTGCTCAGTTTTTTTTTTTTTACATGTCACTTACCGTAAATTCTAGACTATAAGCCGTTACTTTTTTCTAACACTTTGAACCCTGCGGCTGATAAAACGATGCGGAGAATATGTGGGCGGATTCTTTGTTTGGCACATTGTCCATTCATATATATATAGTCTATGGCAGGGGTGGGCAAACTACGGCCCGGGGTCCATATGAGGCCCTTTAGGCTTTTTAATCCGGCCCGCCAAACTTGAATAATAATAATAATTTCAATAAATAGTAAATACCGTGGGACTTGAAAGACAGATATTTTGTTGTTATGATGTTCAATTATGGGATATTTCAATAATATGTGATATGTTTTCTACATATCCCAAGTTATTTTTTTCTCTTGAGAAAAAAATAATGAGGTGGATTACCAAAAAACTCCATCTATCTGCTCCTGGTCCGGCCCTTCCTTCAAACTTTAGAACCCTTTGTGGCCCACGAGTCATAAAGTTTGCCCACCCCTGGTCTATGGTTTGGCAAAACAGCAGATACACGCAGCCTGAGTGCAGAAAACGCCGCTGTCTGTGCGATTAACACATGGATCTAAGGTTCACATGAAGTTGCAACACTAGCCTGCGATATTATCAGTGCACTCAAATAGTTTGTCGCAGTGTAATGAAATAAGTTATGATGCTAAATTAAAATTTGTGAGGGGGATACGTCTTACCCGTGTGCGTAAATGACTAGAAGAAACGTCTCAAACTTCAGTAGACGGACATCCACTCAAACCTGATTGATAGAACTAACCCTGGCCCCAGGAGAGTCTGAAATCTGCTGAAATCCTCCAAGACACTGACACGATACAGACAGAACAGAGACTCTTTCTGCAGGAGACATGCGCAGTAGAGCACTGAGAGAGATGCGTCGAGGAAGATTCTAGTTTGATTGTGTTTTGAACAGTTATATTGCACTTCATGCACACACCCTCCTCATGGAAAATACACAAAGAAACGCAGATGATGCAGCATTTAAGTTAAAGGCGATCGATGGTGAGATTTCGGCGATGGCAGCATGATGAACTGACCGAACCTGAAAACGTTCTTGAAGACGTGGACACTTGCGGTTTATATTCAGGTGCAGAATATACATGCACAATTTTAAAATTTTGTTAAAATGTAGTTGATGCGGCTTATATTCAGGTGCGCTCAATAGTCCGGAAATTACGGTAGTTGTGTTCTGTTTTTTAACATGTCACTTAAATGGCCCATATTGCTCTTACTTTTCTGATCTATGTTATAATGTTGTTTCCTCATCAAAACATCACAAAAACAGACCTGGATTTGTGTTTTATTTCATTCACACATGTTTAACACACAAACCCTGCATATTTAGGCTGAGTTCTTCTCTCAAACTCAAAAAATCCCAAGGTTTGGGTATGTATACAGTCAACAGTACAGGGTCACTCAAACGTGAATGTGCGACTGAAACAAAACACAACTCCAGGTATGTTTTTCAGGAGGAAATAAAACATAATTGAAAGCTTATGAGTCATTTCTACGTAATATAGGACCTTTAAACACTTCCACATAACCTTTTCACACTGCTCGTGACATTTACTACACAATATAAACATGATTCATTTAGAAATAGTCAGGTTTCTCTTGTGTTCACAGTTTCATAATTGCAGGAGTAAGAAGATGTGAGAAGAAGGAGCACAAACTGCAGTTGACGGAGGAACTTCAGAACATTGTTGAGGAGAAGGAACAAACAGAAGACCTCAGGGTACAGCAGGTAAGACCACTACCACCCATACTCATATTTGGTCATATATTCACATTTTCTTCCTCTTGCAAACTTTGCATTGTTCAGAACCAGCCACACTGTGTTATATTTTCCGTGATGTGGGGAATTGAGGTATTTAAAACTGCACTCTAGCTACGTTCAGACTGCAGGGCTTAATGCTCAATTTGTATTTTTTGGTGAAATCCGAATTTTTTTTGCGATGTCGTTCACATTTCCAATTAAATGTGACTTGTTTGTGATCTCCAGTGTGAACTTTAAACGCCCCAAAAGTGTCTCGCATGAGCATTGGAGAACATGACGACGTCACACACAGCAAGCGTGCTCAGTGTTTACGAGCGTCGCCTAAACGCTGGGCTTGTCTCCCAAAATACAGTCCAGTTCTTCGTAAAATGAACAGGTTACACGTCCACAGCCGCTTCGTTTGTTTGAGTCTTTGAGTCTGTACTTGGCTCGCATGATCTTTGATTTTTGTTGACACTGGCCAGGACCGCCTGTAGCTGCGCTCTTTGGCAATCATTTCAAAAACTGCCTGGTTCTGATAAGACCCCTCCAATTTGGCCTGAATACAGCTAACCTCGCTTTCCCTCCATTGACTAGACTCCGAGTCTGACGTGTAGGTGGGATGAATGTGACCTGGCCGTTCAGACTGAAGTCGCATGTCAAAAGATCGAATATGTATCAGTTTTAGGAGCACATATCCACGTGGCCTGGGTCGCATTTGAAACAATTGGATCTATGTTGTTCGGACTGTCATTAAAAGATCAGATACAGGAGCATAGTGTCCAAAAAAGTCTGATTTGGGTCACTTCAGGCTGGAGTCTGAACGTAACCTATGTCACTTTTCTGGAAAAAGGTCTGCCACTTGCCTGTCTCCATGAAAATACTGTAGCCTTGCCTGGAATCAATCGATCAATCAGTCGATCGATTAATATCAATTTATTTGTCCGAGAGGGAAAGTTTAAGCACAATGAGCAGTAAAATACAATAATAACAGAAAAGGTCAAACAAAAGTCTCAATGCGGCTCAACAGGTAAAGTCATCAGATCCAGTGTCAGGGCAGTTTGAGGAGAGTAACCCTCAGGACAAAAGTGTGTATTAGTGTATTAGTGTATGTTAGTGTGTGTATGTTAGTGTGTATTAGTGTATGTTAGTGTGTGTATGTTAGTGTGTATTAGTGTATGTTAGTGTGTGTATTTTAGTGTGTATTAGTGTAAGTTAATGTACCTTAATGTGTGTTAATGTGTGTTAGTGTGTGAAAGTGTACGTGGATGTGTGTTAGTGTGTGTGTTAGTGTACGTTAATGTGTGTTAGTGTGTGTGTTAGTGTGTAGTGTGTGTTAGTGTGTATGTTAGTGTGTGTTTGTGTTAGTGTGTGTTAGTGTGTATGTAAGTGTATATTAGTGTGTATTAGTGTATGTTAGTGTATGTTAGTGTGTGTGTTAGTGTGTATTAGTGTATGTTAGTGTGTGTATGTTAGTGTGTTATGTTAGTGTGTATTAGTGTATGTTAGTGTGTGTATGTTAGTGTGTATTAGTGTA